AGGCTACTGCACCCTTCCTTGAACTTCAGCTTCTTTGTGGTAGGCTTACATCCTGGTAGGGGAAAAAAAAGGCCAAGCCCAAGCAAAAAGCAAAGCCAAAGGCAAAGCCAATTGCAAAGGCAAAGGCAAAGGGAGAAGAAAAGGAAAATTCAAAGGCAAAGGCAAAGGTAAAAGCAAAGGGGAAGTCAAAGCCTAAGGCAAAGCCCAAGGCAAAAGGAAAGGCAAAGGTAAAGCTCAAGCCAAAGCAAAAGCTCAACAGGAAGGAAAAGGTAATGGAAAAAGAAAAGGCAAAATCAAAGGCATAGGCAAGGAGAGGGAGGAGACAACAACAGGAGGAGGAGGCAACATAAGGCAACGGAAGGAGTAGGGAGTAGAATGGAGATGAGGAAGATGCAGTAAGAGGTAAGAGGAAGAAATAGGAGGAGGAGGCAACAGGAGGCAAAATGCCGAGGAGGCAACAAAAGGCAAAAGTAGGCAACAGTCAGAGGAAGAGAAAGATGAAGAAGAGGAGGAGGAAAGCAGGAGGAGGAGGAAGCGGAGGATGAGATAAGAACACGCAAATGTAGGAAAAGCATGAGGCAACATGAGTCGACAGGAGAAGGAGAAGGGAGAAGAGGAGGAGGAGAAAGACGAGGAGGAGTAAGAGGAGGAAGCAAAAGGGAGGCACCAGAAGGAGGAAACGGGAGAAAAGAGGAGGAAGAGGCAAGAAGGCAAAAAGAATCAAGAGGAAGCAAGAATAGGAGACAGGAGTAGGAGGCAACAGCGGGCACGAGGAGGAAACAGGAGGAAAGAAGAGGAGGAGGAGGAGAAGGCACAGTCAGCAACAGGAGGAGAAGGAAAAAGAAAACACAAGGGAAGAGGAGGCGGTGGCAACAGGAGGTAAGAGAAGGCAACAAGAGGACCAGGAAGAAACAGGAGGCAACAGGAGGCAGAAGAGGAGGAGGAGAAAGATGAGAGGGGAGGGGGAGGAAACAGGAGGTGGAAGAGGAGGCAAAAAGAAGGAAACAGGAGGAGGAGCAAGAAGAGGCAAGAGGAGGCAAGAGGAAGCAACCAG